AAGTCCCCTTGCTCCGGATCAGAATTAGGCTCTGCTGGTATATCTTGTGGAGCCATCTCCACAGTTTCAGTCTTAGGACTTTCTTCAAGCAATACCACTTTCTTGGGCTCATCACTTTTCTGTATGCCTGCCTGGGATTGTGTTTCACAAAAGACAACATCCCTGCTATATATGATGATCTTTGATTTTGGATTCTACAGCTTATAGCCCTTGACCCCTTCCTTGTATCCGACGAATATGTTCTTCTCAGACTTATTGTCAAGCTTACCTCTTTTCTCCTTGGGTACATGAACATACGCGTCACACCCAAACACCCGAACATGTGACAGATTCGGCTTCTTCCCAAACACTGCCTCGTATGGTGTACGGTCCTTCATTGATGTGGTCGGTGATTGGTTCTTTAAATAACTGGCCGTGGCTACAGCTTCTGCCCAAAATTCAAGATCCAGACCTGCCCAACTCAGCATGTATCTTGCCTTTTCTATGAGTGACCGATTTAATCTTTCGGCCACCCCATTCTGTTGAGACGTATATGGGGTCGTTTTCTGCCTCGCGATACCATTATCTACACAAAACTGTTCGAACTTGTCCGAACAGAATTCACCTCCGTTATCCGTACGAAGTATCTTGATTTTCCTGCCCAATTGGTTTTCAACCAAAGCCTTAAATTCTCGAAATTTTTCGAATACATCTGATTTACTTTTAATAAAATAAATCCAACTATGTCTCGAAAAATCATCTATGAACGATACATAGTACCTGGATCCTCCAATAGATGCAGTCGGAGTAGGCTTAAAAACATCACTGTGAATCAGCTCCAGAATCTCTATTGTTCTCGTACCGGTGTGTTGGAAACTAACTCGATTCTATTTTCCATGAAGACAGTGTTCATAGAACCCGAAACCCATAGAGCATTTTGGAATTCCTTATACCATCTGACTCAAAGCTAAGGTAGACAGTCCCTTTTCACCGATATGCCCTAACCTCTGATGCCACAACATGGACATATCATGTCCATCTTCCTTGGCCTTTTCAGAAATGAACCCTCTACCAACAGTCACTGTTTCCCCGAGCAGCTTGTATAATGTCCCATAACGGACTCCTCGTGCAATCACAATAGAACCTCAAGTCATCTTGCACGAATCCTTATCACAGCTAAAAATAACCCCCGAATCAGCCATCGTACCGACTGATAACAAATTTCTACTCATCAAGGGTATGTGCATCACGTCTGGAATAGTCTTCACCGTGCCATTACTTATCCTCAGCTTCACCTTGCCACACCCGACAATCTGAACTGCAGTATCATCTCCGAGCATGACATCCCCACCATTATATTGCTCATATTCACAAAACCAGTGTCTATGAGGCGTCATGTGGTATGAAGCACCGGTATCGATCAACCAAATATCCTTGTTTGACTGCGCCATACATGCAGCAGCCAAATACATATCTCCTGCATTGACCTCCTTTTTACTTGAGGATGATTCAGCTTCTTTCTTAAAAATTGGCTTGTTTTTACAGTCCCGCTTCACATGGCCCCACTCTTGACATTTCCAGCACTGTACCCTCCTCTCCCTACTCTTCGATCGCCCACAAGATTTGGATCTGGACCGTCTCTGATTCAGAGTCTTCTCTGTTGGCCTTCCCCTAGCCGCCAATGCCTCTTTACCGGAATTTCCTGATCCCTTTCTTCGTGTCTCTTCCGATAACAAGGCAGAACACACACTTTCATACGATAATTCCTTATCCTCACCACCAATCACCACAATCAGGTTATCCCATGAATCCGGCAGTGAACAGAGCAGTGTTATTGCCTTATTATCATCTTGGAACTTAACACCGATTGATACGAGTTGACTAATCAATGTGTTAAAGTTATACAGATGTGCAGAAAACGAGTCGCCTCATGCATCCGAAGATTATACAGCTTTTTACTCAAAAACAGCTTATTAACCAATGACTTACTTTGATACAACAACTCTAGTTTCTGCCATAGGTCCCTGGCTATAGGGTCCCTCATCACGTTTATCATAATCAAGTCTGCGAGACAAAGCCGAATCAAACCCTTTGCTTTTCGATCAATCCGATTCCAGTCTTCAATCTCCTTCGGATCTACCTGTTTGGAAGTTGAATCCCCTTCCTTCACCGCTTCCTTGCCTATCACGACACCAGGTTGCGCAGCAACAGGCCTTTCCATTTCGATTGCCGACCAAAGATCTCGATCGCAGAGAAGATCCTCCATCTTTATCTTCCACAGATCAAATCGCGTCCCATCGAATTTTTCTATCTCAATTCGTGATCCTCCTGACATCTCGAATAAACCCTAATTCCTCGAACAACTCCGGCTCTGATACCAATTGAAGGGATGTATCGAGAACCGAAACAGAACGATCACGCAGAAATCAGAGAAAATAGACAATGCACGAATTTACCCAGGTTCACCCTCGAATAGGGCTACATCCTGCAAAGAGATTTCACTATATTTTAGGTTTACAGCCACTCAACTCGTTACAATGATCAGAAAAACAAGCAAAATATATATGTGCCCCAAACGGGCCCAAAACCTGAACCTATACGAAATCTCTTAATCTCTTAGGTACCGCATGATAACCATTCTGGTTATGTCCAGAACTGATTTTTTGTTCCCAGAATCAGTTTTGGACCAGAAACCTGTTTGTTAACGCAATTTCATTTTTCTATTTTTGGGACAAGTTTTTGTTCCAGAACCGATTCTGAACCAGAAATCAGAACCAAAAAAAAGTTGGTTTTCTATTTCTAGACCAAAAATGAGAATCATTTCTGAGAGAACTCTTTCTTTAAAACACATGTTCATCTGGAAGTCACGACCTTTGAGGTGGGAAAAAAAAGCAAAAAATAAAAAATTTCAAAACTTCACATAATGGTTTAAAATCTATGGCTACCCATTTTGAGCGAAATTTAAATTTTTTTAGGTACCGAAAAAAATAAAAAAAAGTCAAAAAATCAAAAAATTCAAAATTTCACAAAATGGCTTAGAATACCTGTGGCCACCCACTTTGAGCGAAATTTAATTTTTTTTAGATGCCAAAAAAATAAAAGATAATAAAAAAATCTAAAATTTAAAAACTTCACAGAATGTCTTAGAATACATGTAGCCACCCAATTTGAGCGAAATCTAATTTTTTTTAGATATCGAAAAAAATTAAAAAAAGCAAAAAGTAAAAAATTTCAAAATTTCACAGAAGGGCTTAGAATACCTGTGGCCATCCACTTCGAGCGAAATTTAAATTTTTTTTATGTGTCGAAAAAAAATAAAAAAATCAAAAATTTCAAAACTTTACATAATGGCTTAGAATACCTGTGGCCACCCACTTTGAGCGAAATTTAATTTTTTTTAGATGCCAAAAAAATAAAAATAAGCAAAAAAGAAAAAATTTCAAAACTTCACATAATGGCTTAGAATACCTGTGGCCATCCACTTTGAGCAAAATTTAAATTTGTTTAGGTGCCGAAAAAAATAAAAAAATAAAAAATTTCAAAAATTCACAGAATTGCTTAGAATACCTATGGCCACCCATTTTGAGCGAAATTTAATTTTTTTAGGTGCCGAAAAAAATAAAAATAAGCAAAAAAGCAAAAATTTCAAAACTTCACAGAATGGCTTAGAATACCTGTGGCCACCAACTTTGAATGAAATTTTATTTTTTTTAGGTGCCGAAAAAAAGAAAAAAAATCAAAATTTTCAAAACTTCACAGAATGGCTTTGAATACATGTGGCCATCTACTTTGAGTGAAATTTAATTTTTTTTAGGTGCCGAAAAAAATTTAAAAATCAAAAATACCATTTGGGCACCTAAAAAAATTAAATTGCACTCAAAGTGGGTGGTTAGAGGCATTCTAAGTCATTCTGTGAAGTTTTAAAATTTTTGATTTTTTTATGTTGTTATTTTTTTTCGAAACCTAAAAAAATTTAAATTTCACTCAAAGTGGGTGGCCACAGATATTCTAAGTCATTCTATGAAGTTTTGAAATTTTTGATTTTTTACTTTTTTTCACCTCAAAAAATTAAAATTTCACTCAAAGTGGGTGGCCACAGGTATTTTAAGCTATTCTGTGAAATTTTGAATTTTTTGAGTTTTTGAATTTTTGTAGGCACCTTAAAAAATTTAAATTTCACTCAAAGTGGGTGGCCACATGTATTCTAAACTATTCTGTGAATTTTTAAAATTTTTGGAATTTTTGATTGTTTGATTTTTTTTGGGCACTTAAAAAAATTTAAGTTTCACTAAAAGTGGGTGGCCACAGGTATTTTAAGTCATTCTATGAAGTTTTGAAATTTTTGATTTTTTGATTTTTTTTTAAAAATTCAACAAATTTCCTATTTTCTAGAAAAATCTGAATTTTTTTTTTGGAAATTGTGATGAATTTTTCTAGAATTTTTCAATTTTTTTGGATTTTTTGAATTTTTTTTGAGATTTTTAGGAATTTTTTGGATTTTCTAATTATTTTTATTCCATTTTTTAAAAAAAAATGGATTTTTTTTCCTAGAAATAGAATTTTGTGTTGTTTATCAAACGAGTTTTTGTTTCAGGAAATAGAAATTTTGTGCTGTTATCAAACGGGTTTCTGTTCCAGAAATAGAAATTTTTTGTTGTTATCAAACGGGTTTCTTTTCTCAGAAACTCATCCTGGAACCAGAAATAGAAAAATCTATTTCTGTTTCAGGAATTCATTCCGGAACAGAATGGTTATCATTCGCTACCTTAATCTCGCACCATACGGGCCAGCTCAAATAAAAGCCCAAACCCGTTGAGCGGAACCCCCGCCCGCTGTCCGATCAGCGGGACCCCCGTGTCGGGAGCGCTGCCCCCGAACCCCCGCATTCCATGCTTGGGGGTCACATGTCGTCGAACCATACTTTGGTTTCCCTAAGCTCACGTGGGCGTTCCCGGTATGAGGAACAAGGGTCACCGAAGTATTCGCCAACTCCAACAAAGAAGCTCTACATATTCCCGAAATGGATCTTTGTCTGGGCATGTCTGCTTCCTCAGCCTATATATGTACACAAAAGAAGAGGGAAATCCTATATACAGCAATATCAAAACCCTGCACCGAAATACGAGGCAACTGACATTGAACAGAGTATACTCCAGCCCTATACACTAGATTGGTTCCTGAAGAGAATAAAGAGTCTCTAAAATTGCAACTGACCACTCAGAAACAACACGATTGCAAAAATGAGGGAAAAGACTTGAAATAATCGAAATGCCCAGAATTCGTAAACCAATAATCGTCGCTCATATTCACATTCACAGAAGTGTCGAGAGAGAGACCTGATGGCAGCACGAAGAAGAAGGAGCAGGGGAAAGCGATATTTCTCACGCTGCGCGACACCTGAAGAGGGAAGAGCGAGACCAAATCACAAACGAAGTCGACAGAGATCGAGAGAGAGAGACAGAGACAGAGACAGAGAGAGACCTGATGGTAGCACGACGAAGGAGAAGCAAAGGGAAGCGATATCTCTGCCGCTGCGCGACACCTGAAGAGGGAAGAGCGAGACCAAATCACAAACGAAGTCGAGAGAGGGAGAGAGAGAGAGAGAGAGACCTGACGGTAGCACGACGAAGGAGAAGCAAAGGGAAGCGATATCTCTCCCGCTGTGCGACACCTGAAGAGGGAAGAGCGAGACCAAATCACAAATGTGCACAGTGTCCGGGAGAGCGCGCGAGCGAGCGAGAGAGACAAAAGAGTTTGTTTATGTTCAAGTTGAATTCTTGTCTTCTGTAATGTTTCTTTCTTATTTTTTCCGCGGTCTGCGTCAAATTGGCTCAGCGCGTTGCGTTCACTCGCACGCGTACGTACGCGAATTATATTGCGAATACAAAAGTATGCGTCAATTGTCGGGACATTTGGTGTAGTTACCATACAAAGTTCAGTTTTTTTCTCAATGCCAAGCCAAAGTAAATGAATTTTTTTTTTAAATTCCTTTAAACCCGACTTGCATAGAACCCACACTGAAAAAACAGGTTAATTTGGGTTATCGTTTTTCTATTGTTATTATTATTATTCTTTTTATTTTAAGAACTGGGCAACCATCCTCGATTGTCTTAATCCAAATTTCAGCCAGGTTAATGCATGCTTAGCTGCTCACTTGTACCGATTTATTGTGATCCATCATCTAAGATATCAAGTTTATGCACTTACTCTAATCTTACGGGGCAAACTTTTACATTGTTCAAGTTTATCGAACATCCCAACGGCAATGGTGACTTCCGATATCATGAACATATGATAAGCTTACGAATTGTTAGAGAAAAGAATGGCAATTGATAAGCTTTTACTCTCATTGCTTTGGTTTCGAAATAAGTTCAGTTGGGCTTCGAATCGGCTTCGGCTGATACTGAACTGTGAGAAACCCATTATTCTATTCACTACCCGTATCGAAAGGAAACCCGAATGAAAAAAGACCCGGCATTTTTTTTTTTGGGGGTCAGGTTCCGGTTTGGGCGACTCTTTCGTCATACATGCACATGTCTATCCCACCGGTGTCTCGGCTCAATAAGGGGCATATGCGTACTTCTATTAATGCCAACCCAGTCGGTTCAATTGTTCGGTCAAAATTCTCCGAGAGTGCATCAATTTTCCATTCCACACCAAACGCAATTCAGGTACTAGTAAGTAGGAAGGTCATTATATTGTACATTCAGTAATTAAGTGACATGTTAGTACAACCCACCACAAATGTGCCTAGTGGATCTTTTCACAATGTTGTAATTCGGTTGCTTTACTAGTTTTCTTTTCTAAATCACAAATGGGGATTACGCCGAGTTAGATATCCAAGATTTCTCACTATCGTTCCATACGGTCCAATTATCTATGTTCAAAGAATCTTTTGCATGTTCTTCAAGAATTAACTAAAAAGAAGAAGAAGAAGAAGAAGCAAACTTCGTAATTTCTTCGGTAGGTTGCAAGTTCTCTTAATCTATTTGTTGTGCAGCCTATTTCAAATGATAAAAAAGCCTTTACATTAATCTCACTATAAAAAAGTAAAGTTGACATTAGATATTATCAATAATTAAAATTTGATATCTCAAGGCGATTAACTAATAAATCTCCCATTTCAATTTTATCGAGTTTGAAATTCATATTAACACATTCTCCTGCCAAAAATATCCAAATCCATATCATGCGGAGAAACGAGTCGATCAAAAATAGAAATCTAGATGAGTGGTTACTACAATACGCGGGCAAACCAATAATGCGCATCATTTTGCATGATTCTTCTTATAATTCAAATGACTGATGGGCAAACCAATAATGCTTCAGTGCATCTTAAGAGTTCCCCTCTCACTGATGGCGGTCCTTAGAATAGCCCCGAGTGAAAATAGCCGCTAAAGACCTTTTCTTACGATTTTTTTTTTTTTTGGTAAGGTACCTTTTCTTACGTTTGGCACACGTTAAAGCAATTAAAGCAAAGTCGGCCATGAATATATTCTATAGCTACGATCTTCCAAGACATAGTTGTCTGGTGACGACGTTGATCGCGTGGGTCACACGTGTAGGGCCCTTGCGATCAAGGGTGGGGATGGACCCATGCTAGCCGACCTAGTATGACATTGAAATCTTCATACTGAGGAAGTGGAAAAAATTCAACATTAAGGTTAAACCAATCGGGTGGATAAATGCGAATGCTAGGTGCATCGAGGTGCATCTCCGTCGTCCATGCCGTAACTCTTCATCTTCTTATCTATGTAATCTGGGATGCGGTTTGGCTTCATCCACGGAAGGCATGACTCGGAGTTGAGCTCCACCGAGAACCGAGAGTTGCCGATTCAAGAAGAGAGACGTGTTCCCCAAGCTCTTGACCTCTTCCTGAGTTCCATTCTCCAAATCCACTTGGATTTTTTTCACGGTCCCACCCCTTCCGCCCCATATCATCCAAGCCACCAGCTGTGAGCCCGAGCATTCCACGAGATATGGTTCTTACCGAGATCGAGTCGCAATTGTATGCGACACTCTCTCTCATTAAGGGTCATTATTCGTTTATGCGCATCCAAGGCCACATACAGCCCATCATAATATATCAGCTGGCCGAGGCAGATGCGTTGGTGGACTCACTACCACCCACCCATCTTCTTCTGATCTGGGAAGGGCAAACCCAGGTGATCCCGTAGAAGAGATCATGACTGTGTAGCTCCTGGACAAAAAAGGGCTTGAGGACAACACGATCCTGTCGATTCTAGGAGCGCTGCCCAGGAGCCTCTCTGGCTCTTCTAGTTCCACACTGAGACGTGACTTGTGGCGAAGCTTCTCCAAGGCAGGGAGTTCGATGCTGACACCTAAAAGCGGATTGAAGATACGGTACTCACAGCCCGAGTTTGACACGAGTATCCATCCTGGTGGCGACAAGGCCTCGGCTCCAGATCCTAGCAACTCCACTTGCTGAATTCTCCCTCTAGAGGGTCTGAAGAACTCAGCTATTTGGTTGCACGCATATATCATGAGCCACGGGGATTTGGACTTCGCCTTGTACATCTCTTTGGCGGCAGCGGACCGCCACAAGGTGCGCACCCGTCCAACAGCTAAAAAGTCTTCTGTGCCTAGCCAACGAGTGATGAGTTCTAGGACCTCTTGTGGGAGTTGTTCCCAATTCACCATTGCTTCGTCGTCGATTGAATGATCAATTCGCCTTGTGTGCAACTTCTTTGATGAATTTATTTCCCAAAACATGAGGCAGAACCTTTCTTATGTGAGGAAAGACAACTTTTGGGAATTCAGTTGCCTTTCCGATGAGGATGACCCCAATTTAACTACCTCTTTCAACATGTTGCTTCACAAATCTTATTGCTTCTTTTTATTTTCCTTGAATGAATGTTCCTTTGTCGTGGCTGGCCGCAAGATATAGTTCCCTCCTGCTGACATGATTTTTTTTTGAAGGGGATATCCTAAATTTTTGTCCCGTGTTTTATAACATACATGAAGTTTGGAATCATGTAAATCGGTCCCTCGACTTATGTTATATGCGGAATTTTCCCCCTGAACTTTCAATCAATTTGATTAGGTCCCTGGGTTGCTTTAAAACTTTCAATTGTCCCCCTCCCATCAATTGGCTTCCTGAAATTTTTCTGTCACAAATACCAACTAATCAATCTACTTACATAAAAAATAAAAATAAACAAAAACAAATCCAAGGGTGTCTACAATAGGGAGGTGCGTCCAACATTTTCTAATCGTTGAAAACAGTCCTCTCCTTTGATCAATCAAATAGCTTTCAAGGTGTGTCGTGGTCCTCCGGATAACTCGATCTTTGTGTTTGTGCCTCTGGATTATAGATCGCGAGTTTCGCCTCCAAGCATTCATTATGTCCCATTACTTAAGGCCATCCTATGACTTCGTTGATTTGTTTATTCTTTCCGGACCATCTGAAATCACGCTAATGTAGAATTATCCAGTTAGTTCTTTCAAGGTGTTTTATGGTCCTCTGGATAACTAGATCTTTGTGCTTGTGCCTCCATATTATATCCGGCAAGTTTCGCTTCTAATCATTTTCGGTGTCCCATACTTAAGCCAACCTATGACTTTTTGGATTTGTTTATTAGTTCTTGATGATCGGAAATCACGCGGGCATTCACTAAGACTGCACTAGAAAAAGGTTCAGTCTCTCTCTGTTTTGACTCTCAACTTTTATTGTTGAAACTTGTTCGGCCGATGACTTAAGGGAGCATCTTTGCAGAGAAGGCTAGGGCAAATTATTTTGACAACCACAGCAAACGAGAAGATAAAGAAAAAAAGTGAAAGTTATCGTCAACACGCAACTTTTGATTGTGCCGATGCATAATTTAGTCATTTTATTAAATTAATAGAAAATAAATATATTTATTTTGTAGTGACCGTTGATCCCGCGGATCACACATGTAGGGCCCTTGCAATCAAGGGTGGAGATGGGCCCATTCCAGCCAACCTAGGTCCGACATCAGGAAGGAAAAAAAAATACAACATTAAAGTGAGTACTAGTTGCATCAAGTGAGAATTTTCATATTTTTAGGTAAACAAGAGTTTTGACTAAACTCAGTTGCCACGAACATGAACGTCCGTTTGCAGCTTCGGTTCTGATGAGTCTTAAGTGTCAGGAGAAGTAATTAGGAAAAAGAGCAATTATTATTAACATTTAATCAATAAGCTCATGCCTACAACGTCAAATTTCCTTTTCTGGTGAGAGAAGCGAACTGACTAGGCATATTCTACTCTATGATAGGGTCAGACCCACGGAATCAAGGATTACTCAAAAAGTCTTCTATGGATCCATTCGGGTGCATAAATGTGAGTGCCAATTGCACTTTTTTGTCGTCCACGCTGTAACTCTTCATCTTCCTATCTAAGTACTCTAAGAAATAGACGCCGTTTGGCTTGATTCTGGGAAGGCAAGACTCGGCATTGAACTCCACCGAGATCGCAGAGTTGCCACTCAAGAAGAGAGTCGCCTTCCCCAAGCTCTTGACCTCTTCCTGAGTCCCCTTCTCTAATTCCACTTCGAAAAGTCAGATGTTTTTCACGGTGCTATGCCCTTTGCACAATATCTTCTAAGCCACCAGCAATGAGCCCGAACACTCACGAGATATGGACAACTTACAAAATTCTGCCCCAGAACTAGTCGGGCGATTGCATTCGAGCCTTTCTCTCGTCAAGAGTTGTTATTTGGTTATGCTCATCTAAGGCCACGAATAGCC